GTACAAGGAAAAATGGCTTAAGTGGAATAACTATTTCTGTCATTTATAATTTTTGTCTTTGCAAAAAATAGGCTTATTTTTGTGTCCATTAATTAAATAAAAATTGAAGAATTATCATTTTTTCCTCCCAGTGCTGGGAATTAAAGCCAGTGAACACTGAGCTTAATTTGCAACCATTTTTGTTTCTTAATTTAAAACTTGTTTATTAGTACACATTTGTAATACATAATGATTACAGTCATTGTGGGACGTTGGTACATGTACATAACACATCTTCGTTCTTTTTACTTCTCTTCTCCCCTCCCCTCATTTTATTTTATGACAGGGTCTCACTAAGTTGACAAAGCTGGTGTTGAACTCATGATTGTCCTGCCTCAGCCTCCTGAGATCTGGAATTACAGGGATTGTGCCCTGGCCAGTTTCTTACTATGTCAAATGGCCACTGATAGTAATAAACAATCATTCAAGGTCAGGTCCTGTTCTCCAAGCTCATTGTGATCCTTTTGTTCTTGCCTTCTGTTAGTGTCATGATACACGTATTTTCTTAGGTCTTCTGGGATAACCTTTACGGAGGCCCCAGTCTTTTTATACTGGATCTTGGTGCCCAAATTTTTACCTTGAGGCCAGACATTTTTTCTAAGTTTTGTTGTCAAAAAGCCTACTGTATATCTTCACAGGAGTGTCATTCAGGCAACTCAATTTCTGCCTCTCTGAAATTGAGTTCTTCCTTCCACAAAACAGTTGTCTCCTCAATGTCCTGTCTTGTTCAGTGCTTCCTTTCTACCAGACTCTGAAGTCGGAGATGGGAGTGGGGAGTGGATTTCCAGTTGTTTATTTCCTTTCTCTCATTAGTAACTAAGTGTCTCAGTTCTATATTGTATGTTATTTTTCTTCTCCTTTGTCAGTGTTTCCTTAACTCAGCTACTTCTTCCTCTTTTAAAAGTTGCTTAAAATGTGAGATATAATGCATAAAATTGCATAACATAATTTAATACATAATTATAAATATTCGTGTAACTAGTCACCTTTCAAATATCCCCTCCACCTACCACCTCTTCCCTGTCTTGTGTATATTTGCATGTGTTCTTTCCTTTGCTTTACTCATTTTCACTTTGTTTACTTTCTAAGCTACGTATATATCATCCCTGAAGCACATATTGAAGTTCTTTTCAGTCAGACCGTGTTCCCTAACCCCATCCCTAGAACTGTGTATCTTTTGCTCCACTCTGCTGAGTGATTATCTTACTCATGCCTGAAACCCTGTTATGACTTCTCATAGCTATGCATTGCCCTCGATGAGCTGGCTTTTCTAGTCTCCCTTGCCACTTTCTTTTCCTTTAGCTGTTATCTGAACTGTTTTGTTTTTACTCCTACATTTCTCCCATTCTCTGTCTAGTTCAGTCCTACTCACATGTATAAAAGCATCTCTAACGTTACTACTTGGGAACAAAATTCTGCTGGTCTGGTTCTGTTTGCTTTTGTAACATGCTGGACATTGTGTATTTTGTAGCATTTTATAATTAGGCTAATACTGCGGTGGTTTTACTTGTCTGCCTCTTCCCTTATTGTTTTTTTTGTTTTTTGTTTTTTGAGACAGGGTCTTGCTGTATAGTTCAGGCTGCCTGTGGACTAACTATATAGCCCAGGCTGACCTGGAACTTGCAGCAGTCCTACTGCCTCAGCCTCCCTAAGTGCTGGTATTACAGGTGTGCACCACCACGCCTGGCTGTTTTTTTTTTTTGTTTTTTTTTTTTTTGAGATAGGATCTCACTGTGTAGTTCAGGCTGATTTTGAACTCACGATATAGTCCAGGCAGGTGTCAAACTTGCAGTGATCCTCCTGCCTCAGCCTCCCGAGTGCTGGGATTATGGGTGTGCACTATCACACCTGCCGCCTCTTCCCTTCTTAATGATAGATTCTTCATAGCTTGTTTCTCCTTTACTTCTGCCTCAGCTTCTAATACTATACATAGTGTCAGGTACATAGTGGGTATTTAATAAAAATTAAATCATCCAGTGAGTTTCTTTGTTCCCTACACAGGTGTTGACTCTTTAGATGATTGGTGTAAACATCTGACATTTGAATATCTGTTGTGAAAATATCTTGAGTTTTCACAGTGAGGTCTTTGTAGCCTTTGGATCACACCATAATCTTTCTTCCTAATCTCGATGCACAATCTTTCATTCTATTATACTCCACTCCTTTTTCTTTCCTACCTAAAAAACAAATTTTTAGTTCATCTTAATGTGCCACTTACAGTTTATGTCTAGATGTCTCCCCAAAGGCTCAGCAGTCACGGGGGCAGGATTTTCAGAGGTGGCTGAATCTCGAGTTTGTGTCATGGTCCAGTGCTAGGATTAAGGGTGTGAGTGCTCTTGTTGCTTTTGCTGTTCTCCACTGCCATGAACTATTGCCCCTCTGCCATGTGCCACCCTGTCTTGGAGCCAGCTGATTATGGACTGGGTGTTGGGTGTTTTGTTTCAGCATGAGAGGAAAGTAACTAAGACAATGCCCCTGGTATCATACACTCATATCTCTAGCCGATTTCTGTAACTTGACCAGTCTGAATGTGCCACTGGACTGAGTCCCTAAAGAGCAGAAACATTTCCACTTGCGTCTCTATTCCAGGTATATAAGAGGTGCATAACCAGTAGTAGGTCAGGCAGACTTAGAGGACTAGGTAGTTTTAAATACTGATTTCTGTCAAACTCAGTAGCAGATGTTCATAGAGAACAACTTGGCATAGCAAATAAATGTTTTCATAATGCCAGTAGCAACATTTTCTAACTACTTACAAAAATGCAGCATTAAATTACAAAGGAAATAAGAATCTCAATTGCCATTTATAATTCAGATCTTGAATAGCAAAATTATATTTACATGAATGTAATTAGTGGAGAAAATGGTATACATAAAGTGCTACCTCAGTCCAGTGGTCTTCACATATTTTTGCTTGTAAATCTGGTAATTTTGAAATACATGTTTTTATGTTGATGGAATCTGAAGTTTTTTGTCAGGAGCTTAAATAGTTGCAAAGGATCAAATTTCTAGGTTTTATATTATGATTTTGTATGATTTAATTAAGAATTTGGAGTTTATCAGTTGCAATAAGCAATGTCACATAGATCTAAACATTTAATAGGGGTGTTGAGATATGTGTATTTGTACTTTTTTTTTTTTTTGGTCTGTTAACTGACTCTTGACTAAAAACTGTCTTTTTCCAATTCTGTCAATTTTTGCTGCTCTTGTTTTGAAGCTTTCTTATTGAGTAGATACATACTTAGAATTTTTATGCCTTCTTGATAAATTGACAACCTTGATTATGGGATGTCCTTGTTGCCTTGAAGTCTATTTTGTTTGTTATTAATATATCCACTCCAGCTTGGTATGTTTCCTTTACCTCTGTCCTTACATTTTAAAAATTGGTTTCTTATAAGGATATAGTTAGACCTTGCTTTTTAAATTCAGTTTGACAATATCTGCCTCTTAATTGGAATTTAAAATCCAATAATAAGTGCAAAAATAAGTACACTTAATAATTACTGATGTGGATGGATTTCAGTCAGTCATCTTGCTATTAGTTTCCTATCTGCCACATTTGTCGTTTGTTCCTTCCACTTTTCCTTCTTTTACTTGTATTTACTCAGTTTACTTTAGGATTCAGTTTTATGACCACTGTTGGCCTTTTAGTTATGTTTCTTCATTACTTCCATTGTTATTTTAAGGAGTACAATCTACCTTAATCTCACTATAATATACCTTCAAATGATGTTAATACTACTTGACATAGAATGTAGAGATTTTTCAGAAATATGCTTCTGTTTCCTACTGTTCTTTGTTTTATTATTTCCCTTATTTTGACAGGAAACAGTACATTTTTATTTCTGTCTTTTTTGCGGGGGGGCGGTACCAGGAATCGAATTCAGGACGTCACACTTGCCAGGCAGGTGCTGCACCACTGAGCTAAATCCCTGGCCCCTTTATTTCTGTCTTCAGCCATTGTTGTTCTCTAATATGCATAAGTTCTGATATGAAGGCCAGGGAAATTCTTATTTTTGTTCTAGACATAATTTACCTGTTTCTTTGGCCATTTTAAGAGTTTTCTTTTAATTACCGATTTTCAGCTGCTGGTATGATAGATCTAGGATGGTTTCCTTTATCTTTAGATTTCATAGTGGTTTATTGACTTTCTTGGAGCTTTGTATAGTTTTCATGAAATGTAGAAAACTTTTGGCTATTATTTTTAGAAATTATTTTCCACCTCCCTTTGGGGACCTATTTATAAATGTTAGACCCATGATAGTGTCCCACAGGTCACTGAGGTTTTGTTTTTCTCTTCTTTAATTTTTTTTTTTTTTTTTTTTTTTTTTTACCCTGTCTTCTTTTTTTGTTCTTAAAAACTGTCCCTTTGTTATCAGTGCTTCTCTTACTTGTTTTTTGATATGCAGTCTTAACTTTGTTGCCCAGGCAGGTCTTGAACTCTCAGGTTCAAGTGAACCTCCTACCTCAGCCTTCCACGTAGCTGGGACTACAGGCCCTGAACCAGCAATGCTGTTTTTTAGAAAATGTTCTCAAGTGATTTCATAGCTCAGTAGTGTTATTTTAATAGCAAATAAAACTTTATAATACATGCATTTATTTCTTAGCATAGCATTGGATCTTGTTAGGTTTTTATATTATTTTTCATGTAGAGATTCGCTTTAAGTCTTAAAGGATCCATGTTACGTGAGTTCAGCAACGTTCATGCTCTTCCTTCATGTCAGTGTCAGGTGTGAATATCTTTTCCTAGCTTGTGAGAACCGAGGTTGAGAGGGACAGTGCGGTTTCTAGAGTTACATTTGTACCCCAAGCGTTTGGATTCTCTACAAACAAAGCTAACATACAGCTTTATCTGTGTGGCGTTGTTTCGCTCATTGGTGGTTATTAAGCTTTTCAAACTAAATTGTAAGTGTTTAGGTAAAGAAAAAATGATCAGTTGTCTCACATCCTCCTTTTTCTAGGTAACTGAGTACCCAGAGCTGCAGCCATGGAGTCGATGCTTAATAAATTGAAGAGTACTGTTACGAAAGTAACAGCTGATGTCACCAGCGCTGTCATGGGCAATCCTGTCACTCGGGAATTCGATGTTGGTCGACACATCGCCAGCGGTGGCAATGGGCTAGCTTGGAAAATTTTTAATGGCACAAAGAAGTCAACAAAACAAGTGAGTTATTCAGTCCAACTGGACAAAACACACATGCTAAGTATTATAAAGTATATGTATGTATGTTAAGAAATGCTAAAAGTTCTTTAAAGAAGAGAAAAAAATAGAAATGTGAAAAGTTTTTTAATAGGTTTTTAAGTGGGCTCTTTTCATTTCATCTTACAAAGATATAAAAAACCCAGTGCTTTTAAATGTGCTCTTTATCTCTGGGATACAGAGATACTGATTGACATACCACATCGTCTTGCAGTCTACTTTAGCTTACTTAATAAAATAAACATTTCAGTTGAGCATACTAAATGGTAATTTTTTTTTTGGCAGTACCAGGGATCGAACTCAGGACCTTGTGCTTGCCAGGCAGGCACTTGTGCCACTGAGCTATATCCCCAGCCCTAAATGATAATATTTAGCAAAGTATATGTTTTACGATACTGGCAAAATGTCCGGTTAAATTTTACCAACATTAAATGTGCCTTATTTAGCTTTTTTCTTTATTTTTGGTGCTGAGATTTGAACCCAGGGCTTTGAACTCTACCTCTGAGCTATTCTGCTAGTCCACTTACTAGATACTTATTCTGTACTGTGTAGGCTTGTAGAAAATAGACTTCTATAGTATTTTTTTTTTTTTTTGTGTGTGTGTGTGTGTGTGTTAAACTTGATAGTATTTACTATTAGAGGGAAGTAAGTTGTGGGATATAATTGGTAGTGTGTTTTAGGGTATAGTTATTTTATAGTTGTTTTTATTTTTTGAAATTGATTGTTCTTTTAGTGAAGGGTAGTTTGAATGAGTTGTTTTTTCTTTTCTTCTCTAATTTGGCTTAGGAAACCAACAGATGGTTCTTAGAAAATATGGACAATCACTAGTGCTGATTTTTACTAGCAGCTTTTTATTGGAATTGTTAAAGGATAAAAAATATCCAGGATTAAAATGTGTAGAAATATAGTCTTTAAAAAAGTCAGTTTCCAAAAGTATTTTTATTTCTCTTCAAGTGAAATAAATGGAGTATGTAAACCATTTGTTACTCATACTTTGCAGTGGCTACCCACAGTCGTACAATTATGGGTATGTGTTATTTGCTCAGTTTACTTCTCAGCCAAATATATGGAAGCTGTTGGCTTTGGTTAGAGAGGCTCACTAAAGTTTGTTCTCTGGCAAAAAAAAGAAAAAAAAAAAAGAAAAAGAAAGTAAAACAGGAGAGAGAAAAGAAGAAAAACTGGCTTTGGTTGGCCTTTTATGAAATAGGAATTCCTGGTGCTCTGGTAGATTGCTGGTACGTAGTTTGTACCTGACTTATGAAACTTGGTTTTGTTGCCATTTAGTAGGAATTCTCTATTGAGGTCCAAAGTTGATCTGTATCATAAATGATGCTGATTATTTGATATTGTTATTTTTAAACATTATTTTCGCATCCAGAAAGCAATTGGTTTTTTAAGTAGACTTGTTAAAAAACTATTAATGAGGTATTAAAGTCACATAAATGGCCAGTCTCCTGTGACAGTATTATAAATTGCTTTTACGGTCAGTTATGGCCATGTGCTGCTTTGATAGGGGTGCATTCTGCGATATGTTGTTTCTTGATGTCATTGTTGTGTGAACCGAACATCATAATGTGTGCTCACAAACTAAGACAGCTATGATGTCATTAGGTGATGTAATCTATAAGATATAATCCTGTAAGGACCATTGTCATGCATACAGTCCCCTGTTGAGCAAAATGTTATGTAGCATGTGACTGGGTAAGGAGATAATGAACATCAAAGTTATAAAATTATGGATGTGGTAATAAAATTGCATCTCTGTGCTTAGACAAAAAGAGTTCTGGGTGTTTGTGTTGATACCAGTAGTTCATATGCTAAAATCTCCCAGTCCTTTTGGAGCTTCTATTGCTGCTCATAGACTAATGCGCTAGGCACAAGGGATAGAGCCCTATCCTCATCTGCTGCCTGCGCACTGAGTTGCCCCCATATTCATTGCTTTGGGGCCGGATGGTGTACTGTTGGCAGCTATAGTTTTGAATTTTCATTCTTTGCTTTCTTCAGACTTCAGGGGTCAGAATTGAGTATCTTGTGTTTAATACTAGGTAATTCCTGAAGAAGGAATTGAGGCCTCATTTTAGTTTCTCCATTAATTGAAAAATTCAGGGCCAGGGATGTAGCTGCACAGTGTAGTGCCTGCTTGGCAAGTGCAACGTCCTGAGTTCGATTTCTGGTACCAAAAAAAAAAAAGAGAAAAATTCAATTATTTTTCATTTTTATTAAAAGAGATCGTGTGAAACAGGAAATTGAAAGCTGTGCTAGCTGTTATCGTACTAGATACATCTGTTTAAATTAATTCAAATGAAAATAAAGCTGTTGTGACACATGCCTATACTCCCAGTGACTGGAGGAAGACTCGAGTTTGAGGCCAGCACGGGCAACTTAGCGAGAGCCTGTCAATAGATATAGATAGGTAGGCAGGCAGGTAGGTAGGTAGGTAGATAAGTAGATAAGGCTGGGGATGTAGCTCAGTGGTAGAGTACTTGTCTAGCATGTGCAAGATGTTGGGTTTAACCCCCAGTACTGCTTCCCCTGCCAAAAAACAAGAAAAAGACGGAATTCTACATTTTGAAATTTCTTTCCGTTGTCTTATAGTAAGTTTTTTTTGTCTCTCTGTAATAGGACAACCCTTGGTGTTAGTTTGGCTTCAAAGTGGTATTTGTCTGCCTGTTTTTTGTTTTGTTTTGCTGCAGTACTGGGGATTGTACCTATAGAGTGACCAGCCCTGATTTTGGGGCAGGGTCTCACTTAGTTGCCAAGGCTGGCCATGAACCTGTGATCCTTATGCCTCAGCCTCCTGAGTGCTGGGACTATAAGGATGTGCTACTGCACTGGGGTGTTGACCTAGCTTGCTCGCTTGCTTTTTTTTTTTTTTTTAACATTTACTGCTATAGGAGCTTTTCCTTTTCTTTTTTTGCATTTTAAAAATTTTATTGGTACATTTTATATATACATAACGATCACTTCCATCATAGTGAATTTTTACCTGCATGTAATATATCGTGCTGCTGCTTTTTTCTCCTCCTCCTCCCCACCCTTCAACCCTTCTTCCCCTCCTCCTATACAAAAGTTTTGTTTACATATTTTCCTTCTTTTTTCTTGTCCCTTTTTTCTTTTCCTCCTCTCTGCTCTCTTGTTCCCCTTCTCATGTGAATATTTTCTTCACATTGCCCAATATCTGTTATACATTTTGGTTCTTATTTACATTTTCTCTTTCTCACATCCAGGTACTTACACATGTATTCAGTTTATTTCACATGAATATGGTCTGAAACTTATCCTTTATGGCAGAGTAGTACTCCGCTGTAAAAACCAACCACAACTTCCTTATCCATTAATCAGTGGATGGGCATTTGAGCTGTTTTCAGATTTAGTTAGTACAAACTGTGCCACTATAAACATGGATGTGCATAAGTCACTATGATGTAATGCTTTTAATTCTTTTGGGAAGATACCAAGAAGGGGAATAGCTGGGTCAAATGGAACCTCTAGTTTTAGTTTTTTGTTTTGTTTTTAGTTTTTTGAGGTATCTCCACACTGATTTCCACAGTGGATGGACCAGTCTACACTCCAATCAGCAGTGGAGAAGGGTTCCTTTTTTCCCACAGCCCTGCCAGCATTTGTTATTGGTTGATTTCTTGATAAATGCTGTTCTTTCTGGGGTGAGATGGAATCTCAGTGTTTTCATTTTTAACTCTTGAATGACCAGTGATGGTGAATATTTTTCATGTAGTATTTATTGGCCATTTCTACTTTTTCATTTCAGAGGTGTGTATTCATTTCAGATGTCCATTTTTGGACTGAGTCTTTAAACTTGGGGGTCTAATTTTTTTGAGCTTTTATATATTCTAGATATTAGTCTTTTGAGGAATAGCCGGCAAAAATTTTTTCCCACATTGTGGGTTGTCTCCTCACTCCTAGTTGTTTCTTTTGCTGTGCAAAAGCTTTTAATAAGATGAGGTCCCAGTTGTTGATTCTTTGTGATATTTCCTGTGTGATCAACTTTGTTCATAAAGTTGTTATGTACACCAGTGTCTTCAACAATTCTACCTATTTTATCTGCCATCAGATTTAGTGTTTCTGTTTTAATATTTAAATCTTTAATCCATTTAGATTTTAGTTTAGTGCATGTTGAGAGATATGGGTCTAGTTTTAATCTTCAGTATATGGAAAGCCAGTTTTTCCAGCACCATTTATTAAAGAGGCTATCTTTCTTCCAGTGAAGGTGTTTGGCTCCTTTGTCAAAGATAAGGTGCCTTAGTGTATTTGGAGTTGTTCGTGCATCTTTTGTTCTGTTCCACTGACCCTCAGGTCTTTTTTTTTTTTTGCCAGTACCATTACTGTTTTTATCACAGTAGCTCAGTGGAAAATAATTTCAGGTCAGGGATTGTGATGCCCCCTACCTTGCCTTTGTTGCCCAAAATTGCTTTTGCTATTCTAGGCTTCTTCTGGTTCCAAGTGAAATTTAGGTTTGTTTTCTCTAATTCTGTGAGTTATGCTGTTGGTATTTTGATCAGCGTTGCATTAAATCTGTATTACAATTTTGGAAGTGTGACCATTTTCATTACATTGGTTCTTTCTACCCAAGAGCAAGGGATATCTTTCCATTTTCTGGTATCCTCTTCAATCTCTTTTTTTCAGAGTACTGTAGTTTTCATTGTAGCTGTCTTTTACTTCCTTTGTTAGATTGATTCCTAGGTATTTCATTTTGTTTTGCATGCTATTGTGAAGATGTTTTCCTTAATTTCTCTCTCACTGAGTTTTCTACTTGTGGACAGGAATGCTAGTGATTTTTGAATGTTGACTTTGTATCCAGCTATGGTACTGAATTTGGTTATTAAATCTAGAAGTCTTGATGGAGTTTTTTGAGGCCTTTTATGTAGAGTATCATGTCATCTGCAAATAATGATAATTTGACTTCTACCTTTCCAATCATTGTTCCTCTTATTTCTTTCTCTTCTCTA